CAAAATAGTATTACAAATATTTGAAATTGTAGTATTTGTAATAGTAGTATTTTTTGATTTTATATTTTTAAAATTACATATAACTTTGTCAATTATTGGAGTAGTAAGAGCTAATGTTATATAATTTTCTCCTCCTAATAATCTTGTTGCTTGTTCAGCAGAGGCTAATAATTTTATTAAATCTTGAATGATTTTTCATTCTGTTGAAGTGGGTAAAAGTTAATCTATAATATTAAAATCATGAACATCAATTGATAAATTACTATTTTCTAAATTATTAGTTAACCATTTAATTGAATTTTAATTTATAAAGTTGAACTAAAACATTGTAAAAAGAATTTTACCTTATATCTATAAGCTTAATAATTTTAACTGTTTTATTTTTTTAAATTTGATTACACATAACTTGTATATATCTTAATTGTTATCTTCTTTTATCACTTCTCAAAAAAATAATAAGATTTTTTTACTTTTGTTATCAGAGGATCAATTATTTTCAATTCTTTAGTAATTAATAATTGTAATGTATGAGCAGCACATGGGATCCAATCTTTTTCCAATCTTGTTACTGCAGATTTAACATTATTTCCATTATCTGTAACTATAATTATTATTTTATCTTCCAAATTTCAGTCATCAAAAATTTTTGAAACATGATGAGCAATTTTAACACCAGTATGTGGATATGATATTTCTCCAACATTTAAAACCATGTTACAAATTTCAAATTCTTTGTTAATCCAATGGGCAGTAATATTCAAATATGAATCATGTACTTTTGATGATCACAAATCAAAAGTTAAATGAATATAATCAATAGAATTAATTAAAATATTTTTGAGTTACCTTTTCATATAATTATATAAAAGATCTATTAAATTTTTAATTGTATTAATGCAAAGAATAGAAAATTGTGAATTGAGAGCATTAATATAATTTTTGAATAAATCACTTTCAACAATAGATAATGGTTATCTTGTTTTTACTATAAATTTCACAAGATCTTGATTTAATAATTTTTGTCTTCTTGAACTAAGAGGTCTTGATAGAAGTTTATTAATAGATTACTATTTTTTTTGATTATTTTAGATTGCTTATTTCTTCTGGAGTTTTTGAAGATAATGAAGCTTCAGTAATATGATGATCATCACAAAGATATTTTATATAATTAGTTGTAAAATCATAATGGACATATTTACATGTACAATTTTTTGTTTGACAAATTGCATAAATAATATCTGTTTCTGTATTATGATCAGTTATGAAAAAATCCCAAACAAAACTAGTTCTCAATGCTACTACTGTTTTTGATTTTTTTGATTTTGATTTTTTTCCTTTAGAGATTTTTAATAAAACAGATGTTTTTCTTTTTCTACAATTTTGAAGATGACTTGAATTACTTAGAATATTATTGTCACTGATTTCATCTTCACCTTCACCTTCGTCTTCATCACCTTTATTACCTTCATCATCTTCATTACTGATTTCATTATCATTTAATTTTTCTATATTAGTTGATTTTTCAAAAAAAGATTGAATCTCTTTTTTATTTATATTATTTTTTATTCTATTTATTGGGTTTTTTTGTTTTGGATAATATTTTTACTTGATGAAGCAATAGGTATTTCATTTTCACTTCAAAAATTTATTTCAAAAGATAAAAAATTATCATTTTCAAAATCATTTTCATAATTATTCAAAATAGAATTATTTTTCACATCTATATTTTTTTTTTATGTTCTATTTTCTTTTTTTTTCCTTTTTCTTCTCTTTTTTTATTACTATCAATTCTCTCTTCACTTTCTTCTTCTTCATTTTCTTTATCATCTATTTCTATAATTTTTACAATATCTCTTTTTTCTTTTTTTTCACTTTTTCTATTCTCCTCTCCTTAAGTTTTTCACTCTCTTCTCTTCTGTTGATCTCTTCTGTTGATCTCTTCTATTGATTTCTTCTTTTCTGACACTCTCTCTTCCTCCCTTCCTCCCTTCTCTTAAATGTCTGTAACCTTTCGCAACCATAATTTTAGCAGTTTTAGTGATTTCAGCAATTTCAACAATTTTATTTTTTTATTTTTTTCCTACTTCTTTTTTTCCTTTTTTTTTTTTATTTTCTTTTCTCAAGTTCTTCACTCTCTTCTCTTCTGTTGTTCTTTTCTCTTCTTCTTCCCCTTCCCCCCTTACTCCTTTCTCCTAAATATTTGTGACCTTTCGCAATTGTAATTTTGATGATTTCAGTAATTTGAATAATTTTATTTTTTCCTTTTCCACACCTTTTTTTATTCTTTTTTCTTCCTTTTCACTGAGTTCCTTTTTTCTTCTGGTACTCTCCCTCCTCCCTTTCTTTTTTCCCTTAAATGTCAATGGTTCTCTGCAATCGTAATTTTAGTAGTTTCAGTAACTTCAGCAATTTCAATTTTACACTCTTCTCTACTCTCTCTTCCACTTTCTTCTCCTCCACCCTCCTTTGTATTTTTGTACTGTCTCTTTTTCTCTTTCTCAGTGGTGACCTGATTCTCCTAAAGTTCAATTATTATTATTGGTTTATTCATGTTAACTAGAAGAAATCTATAAAAAAAAAGATTATTATTTTTATTTAAAAAAATTTGAAAAAAATAATATAATTATAATATTATATATAATATTATAATTATAAAAAAAAAAATAATATTTAAAAGATTTAAAAATATTATAATTATAATATTATAAAAGAAAAATACAATGATTAATTATGATTATTTACAATTAATCACGATTTTTATAATCATAAATTAATCACAATTAATCGTCTATTAACATTTGTACTTGACTATATAGTTAATAGTCAATTACATTGGTTGAAATGGAAAATATCAGATACTTATCATATACCTATCAGGTTTTCGATAGGTATACAATAAGTATCTAATATTAATAATTATGTAATATATTGGATACCCAATTGGTAAAATTGAAATACAGAAGTTCAGATACTTATTGGGTCCATATTAGTTTTATATTGGATATTAATATTTTGACATTTTATTCAAATTCATCATCATGTATTTGATTTTATTTGTTTTTTTTATCAGGTACATATCTTTTATAAATTGGTCATAGTATATTCCTATATATCGAACACAATATATCTCTATATATCAGATAGTTTTTTTCCTTTTATCAGATATCTATCAGTACCTTTTATTTATATATATATATTTTCACTTTTTTTTTATTTGTAAATAATCATAATTTTAGTTTATTATAAAAAAAGATAATAAAATGAAATACATTTATTATGAAAAATATAAAATGAAATATATTA